TTAAAGTTATTATTTGAATTAAAAACTATTCATATTTTTACAATTATTATAATAATAAGACAGTAATTTTTTTTCTATACTATATGCAAACAAATACTTAATTAGCAGTTCTATTCTTGCACTAACTTTAAAACAATAAAGGCATATCAAAATTTTAAAGAATCAAAATAATAATGAACGGAGTAAATACTATATTTAATGCAAAAAAGTATTTAAGAAAATTTATTTATGATAATTCCAAATAATTAGTGATTATATTGATAAGGAAAGAAGAGATGCCAAAGCAGATTCATTCTTCACTAACTTTTTCTATCATTTTTGAATTCGTCGTTTATGATAAATAATTAAAAGCTGTACAATTTTCTGTCTGATTAGTTACATTTTGATAACTCTAAGATATTCTGAAGTCATATAAAACGAAGATACTGCAGATTAAATTTAAAGCTGTATAATAAAATAGAATTTAAAAAAATAAGCTTATATTTCCAGCAACAAAAGCAGTTCTCATCACTAATCTGTTCCTTGTCAATTCATTACTTTTGAAAAGTAATGGCAGTATAGAAACAAAGCCTTTTATCTTATCACTAATTAATACTAACATTTAAATTCAAATTCTGATGAATTCAACAATAAAATGTATTGAAGTATTAAATGAGATTTTAAACTTTATGCAAATGTAAGTGAGACTGAAAAAAGAAAAGAATAGATCAGTTGAAGATAAATTATTAAAATATATAAAAAATGAAGAAAGTTAGTTATCAGCAGATTCATCACTTATCTCGTAAATATGTATGTCATCTGCTATGCATTTTTTTGCAAAATTATTCCTTTTTTTATTGACATTAACAACATTTTGTGTAATATTATTATATTTAATATTCGGAAATTGCTAATAACTTTTCCGCAGTAACAAATACTGTAACTTTACTGCGTGCATTTTCACGTGCTTCATGCTAAACTACGTGAAAAATATTTAATCAGCAAAAATTTTGCACAAAACAATCAGCAAAAATGTTGTACACAACAATACAGAAGGATAGAACTTACTTTTTTTTAGCATTATTAAGAATTACAGAGTGTTATAATGAAAAAAGTTGCCATTAAGAATAATTAATATTGAATACTAACTCAACTCGAAGTAACATCTTTACTATTGCTGAATTCAACATCACTACTATTGCTAAAAACTTTTCGTGATGATAAACTAGAAGACTGATAAGCGCTGATTAGTTATCACTTATTGCTTCTTCTGAAATAAAGCAAAAGAATTTAAAAAAGAACAATAGTATTTGTATATAAACTTCTGTTACTAATTATTATTTTAAGTAGTAATTAAAATTGAAGGATTTAATTTTGAAACTTTCTAAAAATTAAACCGAACAATAGTCTGCTGGAAAATGGTGAAAGTGGTGTGGTTGTAAAAAAATTATAGAAAGTATTTAAATTAAAATAAATAGTAATAAGCCAGTAAATAATTCATTCATTCACTCTAGTAGTGTATTATAAGTGTTAATACTAACCGGAATATTTTCAGCGTTTTCATACTGCGTAATTTATCTAAAATAAGTAAAAATATTGTTAAAAAAGTGTAATTTTTGAATTTTTATTCCATAAATGTTTGCATTAAATTCTTAACTGTAAGTAAGCTTTTTTAGTCAGTGAAAGATTAGGCAAGAGTGAATCAAATTATGCTTTCAGAAATTAGTGGTAATAAAGCGATGAAAAACCGCCCGATCGGATTTAAAATCATTCAAAAGTATTCAAGCGCATCAAATAACGCTCTCTTTTAATTTTGATTTTGAATGCAAAAGTAAGTTTTGCTTAGTATAAAATTAAAAATGTACAAAAATAAATATTTTTGGCAAAACGATTTATTGAAAGTATTTTTCGAGCAGAAACAATTATTCAATTTGCGAGCAAAAGAATTAACGCAAAAATTCTCACCCTTGAAGTCACACAAATGGAAATTCATAACAGAAGATTGTCCTTTTGCAAATCAAACAAATTAATTAAAATTTTTGACAAAATGAAAGTTCAATTAAAAGCATTATAAATTTAAAGTAAATAATTTGAGCTAAAAGAATAAATTCTATGCAGACAAAAATTATTTGCATTATATTTAAAATGCAGCACTTTACTAATTTGAGTACCATTCAGGGGTCAAGTGTGAAAAGTCAAAATTAGTTTGAGATACAGAAAGGTGAAAGTGATGTCATTTTACGGTTTGAATGAAGCAAAAAGTGAAAAAATACAAAAGTAACTGTTTGCAAAGTGTTGGAAAGAGCGTAAGGGTAAGTGATTATGCATTGGAATGCATAAACTGTACGCAAAAAAGTTGCAAAAAAAAATCTTCAAATATGATAAGCCAAAAGTTCACATACTTATGCAAATTTCTGCTTTATCACACAAAAGTTATTCATTTTTTAAAGAGAAAAAAGATGTGCTCACTTCCATAGCAAATAATAGACAGATCTATGCATACTTTTGTTCTAGCAAAACTGCAATAGAGCACACAACCTTTTGACAGTAATTCAAATGTAAAAAGAAGTCAATAAGGTCAAGTTTATAAAATTGATCTGCAATTGGGCGAGAGATAGATTTTCGTGTAATTTAGTTGCTTGAGATGTCAAAGGTTGCTTTTAATGGATAAATTTTATAACTGAATTTTCCCTTTGATTTGTTTTAGTTAAAAATAACTCTAATTAACTGATCAATTTTTATTCTATTCTATAAATCATAAATACTTTTAATCAATTAGTAATTTTAA